GTGAAATGATTCCTTCCACCTATCCTTATCTCAGCGGACGCAGTTGCCTGTTCATTCACTCTAGAATGTAAGCAAACAGGACCGTGTGCTTGTCACCAAGAATAAAGTCACGGGGTTTTTTGTTCAGAAAGATGCAACTGACGTGTCAGAGCTTGATGCTTGAAGGAAGCAGGCTTTTTTCTAGAAAAGTGCAATAAACTCTGCCATTCGGAAGCACTAGTGCCCAAAACTAAAAATCACCCAGTGGGCTCCTGCATATTTCAACAATGTGGTAATAAAACAGATGTGAGAAGGCTTTAAATGTTGTTTTCCTTGTCACTTTTAAATCACTAAGTGGATTATAAACTGGTTTACCCTTTTCCTTACTGCACATCCTTTCTTCAGTCCAAATGGAATCTTTCACAAACCACTTCTCAGACTTGCACCAAAATGTCTACCTAATAAAAGGCATTTCACAACCCTTTGCTTCTGTAATCGTTCTCTTTCTCTAACCTCTTTCTGTCATCCTTTGTTATACTCAGACTGAGAGCTATGGGGCAAAGACACATCTCTTTAATTACATGGTTAAACCCACTTATATAATATTATACACACATACCAAAAAAAAAAAAAAAAAAACACACCCAAAACCCATGCTATTGCATGTCACAACCCTCCCCAAAACACCAGTAACCTGAGATTGCGCTTCTTAACAAGAAGTTCTTTCTTACCTTGAACAGTTATCCTGCCAAAAGGCATGGAACATCTTAACTCCATAATGCACATAACAGTTATAAATATTATTTTCTATCTAAGGAGCCTGTGGTTTGTTAACAGCCCCATAACAGCAATCAAGTTCCACCATAGTTTTTTACTTATGAATCTTCTGGGCGCTTCCTCTTCCTATAGCTTCATGGTCTTACAGTGAAACACCAGTTTCACCTTAAGTTCTGTTATTTGATCTGACGCCACCATAATTAAGAGGAAAAAAAAAAAAAAGGCAAATTAACCATATAAGCATATGCTATACAAGTAAGTGTGATACTAGTCGACACTGATAAGGGACGCAAAGCATCCCCTGGTGTTCAAAAGCTGCTGACTTGGAGAAACAATGTTCACCCTCTTCACATTGTCAGATCATAACTTTGAATCTTAGAAAAATGTTTATTCATCTTATATGTGTATAATCAGCTAGAGAAGGACTTAAGGTAGACAAGAGTGATATTTAAACTTTTTGAGAGGGGGGGGAAAAAAAAAAAGACATGTATTCAGCTATCCTTAAAACTGATTGAGATGGTTTGGAAGTTACCTGGTGTGACAGTGTTATTAGATTGAGTCTTTTTTTCTTATTCCTGTGACATGTATTTTACTAAATTGCTGTGTGCTCATCTGGTACAATGAATATGAAGTAGTCCTATAAGTTTTGCATTAATTAACTGAAAAATAGTGGCTATTCAATACCATTACATCAGAGAGACCTACTATTTTAGTTAGTGGGGTGCTTTCACAGTGAATAAAAGAAAGCACTTAAATTGTAAAGCCTTTTTCCCCTCTTCAGTATATGGGTAAGGTACTGATTAGAGTCAGCTACCCCATTCAGCACCACAGGTACCTTTCTGTTGATGAAGGATAGCCTTTTTAAACCAGAAGCATATCGCCCTTTACAACCCTGGAGACATGAACTGTATCCACAGCTCTTCATTCACAGGCGTGTTTATATTGTTAGCCAGCATACCTAATATTCTTGAGAAGCATTTATCATCAAGAAATTAGTCTCCACTCTTATATGCTTTAGTTCTAGGATGGTGGAAATCCTGCATGAAAAATCTGATCTTGCTTTATTTCTGTCCTATAATTGGCTCCCTGAGGCAAATGTACAATCATGGAAACTACAAAGACTAAGCAGGGTATCCAAATGCAGAGCCCTTCAGGTTACTGCTCCTCACCTCAGAAACTGAGGCTGATATAGGAGCCAAATTAGAAAAAAAAAAATATATATATA